GGCTGTTGAGCTCCTGAAGGCTCTCCCAGCCCTGGATGGCCGAGATGCCTGCAGAGGATTCAGAGTCCTCAGGTTCCTCATCGAAGACATCTGAGCGTTCATACTTTTCCTTGCGCACCTCACGCTTGTAGCTGGTCTTGAACATGGTGGTAGGCTTCTCTCCTGTGGGTTGGTGGTATCCCCGGAGTGCTTGGTCCCCTTCCGCACCTTTATTGTGTGAAAACTCTGGTGCTCACCCTTGGCTGTCTCATGCTCGACTAAACGCTGCACAGCACTGGCTGATGGCGAAATAGCCCCCAAAATCTCTCCCTGGCTGTGGCCACGCATGCTGTGAGCCTGGGGCCTTCCAGAGTGCATTGTTGCCTTTGTTGGAGAGATTAGAAAGCCATGCTGATGATGACAAAGCAGAACCACGAAAACAAACAATTGGCCAGCCCGCGAAAGCACTGGGTTGTTACACACCATTATTTTGGTTCTTAGTCAGCTGCTTTCTAGATCCCTGTTTGATATGGCAGATTGGATAGTGGCCCAGAACAGGACAGAGGGGAAATTTCGTGCAGTGCAATTTGTGTGGACTGTGGAAAACTATTCCTGCCAGAAGTGACTAAGTGTCGACACACTGTACACTGCCCTTGTTTACAAGTAGGGACTAATGTTGTTTTGCTTCACAATCTCAAAAGGATAACACAAAAAACCCTAAATTACAGAAATATATTTGGTGATAAGCAGCAGGCAGGCCCAGTTGGGACACTGTGTTACATGATCATACAATACAATTAATGTTTAATGGTTGTTTTGTTATAGTATATTAGTTCTAAATGTAGCCAAAACAAAATGAAAAATAACACTAAAAAGAGTCCCAAAAAAAGGTCAAACTGAACTGAACAACTAAGGGTCCTGAATGAAATATCTAATAAAAGTTTAAATCTTTATTTCTGCACATGATGTTGTTAGCCTTAATGGAAACAATCAAAGAGAAGAGCCTATATTCAAATGTTAAGTATGTGGCAATCTTTTCTTGTTTTGCTGGGAAGATTGCTTTGCTCTGAATCTAAAGCATCTGAGCACTTTTTCTAATAACAGAAAGCCTCTAGTTGTCTACCTCAGGTGCTTTTACCTGACACCCCTATATATCTTTATTTCCCTTTTATATTTCCATTCGTTCTCTCACAATTACAATAACACTTAGCAAAGATGAGAGTAAGAGAGATTGATAGACGCAAGAGGAAGAGACTGAAGAGTGTCTGCAGGCTTCGGTACAAGGTCAGTCAAAATGTCCCTCTAGACACATCTAGCAAGTTGTCTGTAAAACAGCTGAATGAAACACATGTCAAATGGCTGTTCATCAGCGTTTCAGCATTTTTTTGGACCCAGCAAAGCCCATGGCCCAAGGGCAGACTGTGATAGTTGAACTGGACAACAAAAATTAAGCTACTATACAAAAACATGACATAATGGAGTTCAAATTATTCTATATAGCAAATTTAAAATTCAATTAAGCCATAGATGTATGCTGTTCTTTCATGTTCTTTGATCCCCAAAGGGCAATCTGGTTGATCCTTCCAGCAGCTGTTTGTCTCAATGGTTAAGCTATGCAAGTTTAAGTACACAAGTACAGTACAACTGGCTCATTATATCAATAATGGTTACTATATAACCATAAATAAAGCAATTCTGTGTGTGTTATATCTGCAAATATTCTACTTGAAAAGTCAAACTTATGATTCACAATGTCTTCCTATTGTTTAGCATTCAGTACTTACCATTTCCCACAGTGCCACGACCAGGAATGTTCCCTACAACTAATGAGTGGTCTATGGACGCCCAACTCCACCTGCGTGAATCTATAGTTGTATGCAGGTATCTGCATCAGTCACTAATGCACTAGATTGATATTGTATAAATCAGTCTGTCCTCGTGTGTGTGTGTGGATCAACTCCTGAAGTCCATGTGACATTTCCACAATATGCACTGATTTTAAACAATAAGCACACTGAGACATTTTCCATCTATAGAATGTACTACTATAGACACTACATACACTGGGGCTGTGTGCATCAGTGCATTGTTTTCCTTTTAAACAAACACCACTGAGATTTCATTGTTCAATTGGTTTCCACATTGTGAACTGTGGCGCTACAGCCTGGAGGAAATGTGCAGTGACATTTAAGGGCAACTCTAACCTGTAGCCAGTTAGAAAGATAATTTAGACGTGGTTCACAGACTGTACATTTTTGCTGTGATTGAGACAATAACAAGGGTTCCCACAAGTAGATTAAGACACTCCTTTGTCATACAGAACCAAGTAAACCATGCTGGATAATCAGTAACTTGCTGCCATATCATAAAGAGACAGAATGAATGAGAAAATGATAAAGAAGTACAGAGAAAATGACTGTGTGGTCGAATACTAGCAGAGTTTGGACACTCACAAAGTCAGTCTGTCCCCAGCTGAACCAACAGCCAAAACAGACTGCCTCTGTTCATATTTTAACCCCATATATATATTTGTATGGATTCTGTTTCACTGCTGCTTATTCCCCCATAACAATGTCACCAATAAACTACCTGACTATCTGTCCACCCTCACGCAGGGGCCATAGATTATAGGTCCTGTGCATATTCTCTTCATGGTCGAGGTGAGAATGCCAGGATCACACGGTCCTCTTTTCCCATCTATATTCATTGATTACGAGTGGCAGTAAATCCAAGGCCTGGGTGAGATTAGAGACCTGTCAAGAGTTGGAAATGAAAGCCTAGTGTTTATCCTGCTGGTCAGGCCTCCTGGGCTACAATGACAGACTCGAGGAAGTAGCCGCTAATATTTAGAGGGTAATAAAAACTAATAGGGACATGCAAAGGCAGTTCTCTCATCTCTTGTGAGCTTGGGGTTGAATATGTTCAAGCACTAGAAAACATAACAAGTTTTCTCTCCTCCTGTCCATACAGATAACAGAAAGAACTGTCTGATGCTTCACTTGCATCTCAAGTTATCCATTATTATATTTAAACTGCACTGACTGCTAGATCCCTGCACTCAGTGTGAGATGACACAAAAAGCCATCTCGCTGCTATTGACAGATGATTGCCAGAGGCGAGATAAGAAACAGCAGCGCTAGCTTCCCATCACAATAAGGAATTGATCCTAAAAAGTCATCAGTGTTGCTGTCTGTGCCAGTGTATCTGCTGTTCAGGATGGTTGACCACAGAGATTGGTTGTTGACAGGTTCCAACAGCTCAGTCCATATGTTGATCCGTGACCGAAAACAGGGAACAAAAGTTCATATTTAATTCAGTCTCACTAATCAGTCAAATTTAATAGAATAGAAACACAGTTAATAGAATAAACACTACATGACATCCTGTTTGCAAGTGACTGTGATTCACTGCCATGCCAGGAAATGGACTGACAAGCTTTAAAATAACTGTGTACATTTTAATATTTGAATTACATGATAGATATTCAAATTGAGACTCTTTTATCAAGGAAGAACCCCCTGCCCACAGGCAACCATATGAATGTGAATGTTCCAGCATATCTGCTGGAAGTGCTCCTTATCAACTTTAAAAGTAATAATAGGTCAGTGTTAATTAATAGCTTGTTTCTGCTGCCCCCAGTGGCTGAAAAAGTCAGTTAAGTCCTTTAACATCTGCCAGACGATGCTGAGGATGTTCTTTGAGTCTGTTGTGGCCAGTGCGATCTTCTTTGCTGTCACATGCAGGGGCAGTGGGCTGAAGGTCGCAGATACCAACAGACTTAACAAACTGATCAGGAGGGCCGGTGATGTCGTGGGGGAGGAGCTGAACACTCTGACGACCATGGCAGAGAGGAGGATGCTGTCCAGGCTACTGTGTCTATCTTGGACAATGTCACACACCCTCTCTACGACACACTGGCCCAGCAGAGGAGCACCTTCAGCAGAAGACTCCTCACCCAGATGCACCACAGAGCGCCACAGGAAACCATTCCTGCCTGTGGTCATCAAACTCTACAACGCCTTCGTAAGAGAGTCAGACACCCCCCCCCCCTCTGTAACCTGACTCAAACATGGACTTTAATTTTTTGCACTTTTTGCACATTATTAAACTGTACATTTGATCTTTTATATATATATAGTTATATATATATATATATATATATATATATACATATATATTTATATTTTGTTCTTAATAGATGTTGCTTGTTGTTGTTTGTATATCTGGAGTTTGTAACAAAAATAATTTCCCCCTGGGATTATTAAAGTTTTTCTGATTCTGATTCTGATTATTGCAGGTTTAAAACTAGGATATGGGACTTTTACAGTACAAATAAATAAATAAATGTCTGTTACATTCAAGCCCTTGCCAAACAAGCTCACCCAGTGCTGATTACTATATATTTAAATTAATTTATATTCATGTAATTTTATATTTGTTTAAAAGAAAAAAAAAAAAAAAAACTTTTCTGGGTCAGTTTTCACTGACTCACTGCCAGAAGGCAGACAAAAGTTATGCACTGCAAGTTTAATGTCAGAGCAATTTGTATGGCTCAACTATTTAAAGCCAGTTTGTCCAAGCTCTTATAACTACTGTATTTAGATATGATCAGACAGTACAGTTCCAGTACAGTGGTATTCAGTGAATAATGTATCACCTGTGATATAAAGTGCAAAGTGCAATGTGATTCAAAAAGCTTTTAGGTGAAATACAATGATGGAGTGACTGATGAGAATGTCTTCTTATTTCTCTGCTTCCTTCCATCTTGTGAGGAATGGTAAATGTTAACGCAACCTTTAATGCAAAGGACAACTTGTGTGTCCCCTATGTAGCCTAAATACATCCCTTCAGCTGGTGAACTTTTAACCGCTGCAACCTCTGCGACCACGCGCACGCGCACGCGCACCAGCCTCTCCCGCGCCTGCCGAAAGGCGTGCTGTGTGGTTCCCTCCAACGCGCGTCATCGTCGGATCTCTCACTTGATGCAGAAGAGAAACAGACGCAACTTTTCCCCTTTCAAAGAAGGCAGTCCGGAGGAGAACGCAGCGGAGTGGCAGCTGGCACAGTCAATGTCCAGGGAGGCTGATGAAGCGACCCTCTGTATCTACTGGTGGGATTGTCCAATAATACAGCACTTCAGCTCGGTTTCACACCTGACACAGAGCGTGCAATTACATTGCTTTTTATTATTTAGCTGAGAAAAGCCTGTGAGAGAACCTTCTGCTGCGTTTGCTGGTAAGTGCCTTAATTGTTAACATTTGTTTTAATTCACTGGGGTTTCATTCACTGGAGTCTCAAGTTGAACATTTCTGGAGAAAGGGTCTCTCTCGCCTAAAAGTTTACCTTTGAGAGTGTTATTTTCCTCTGTTGATTTAAATTCACAGCCAGTGATCCCCTCTAGGCTGTGATTATATATAAGCTATAAGAGCTTAATACTCAAGTTGAGACCCCTTGCAGCTTACCTACCTTAGAGCCTTAATTCAAAGTACAGTTTTCTAGTGCAGATATAATTTTTTAAGGCATTGCATTAAAGTAGACAATTATTGATATCCTTAAGCAATCATTTTGAATTTTCTACCTAGAATTATAAGTCACGATTGTAAAACCAAGCCATATCACAATGTCTCTGTCTCTTACATTATAGGAGGTTCTGCACTGTGTTTGGTTAGCAGCCTGGTTTATTGTCTTGTATCAACAAAACTGTGGGATAATCTTGTCAAATATGATTTTCTTTCTTGTAATTAGTTTTATATTATCATTTTACCTCATTCGCATGCATGGGGATTCAAGTGACCACTTTTGCAGCCAATTAAGTGCTGACACGCTGAGCCTAGTCTGTGACGTTGGCTTGCTGTAAAGTGACAGGGTCTTAATAAATTACATAAAGGCCTTTGCTAGATAATGGCCTCACCCACAAACATTTTTCATCACAAAATATCATAGAAATGTCACAAATGCCAGTATGATTACACCCAAAGTGCTGACATCATGTAATTTGTTTTGATCACATCTTGTTGCCATGAATCCTGACCCTGTATGAGTAATGCTGAGATGGGAACTTTGTGTTCCAGGTGAAGATGAGCTGCTGTTTCCAAAGAAGATTTACATTTTCAAACAAACAACATAATAATTAATCTGGTTTCAAGGAAGGAAATTGGCACCATGTACCAAAAAGCATCATTATTATTGACCTAATTTGTTGGATCAAATTGTCAAATAAGTAAACAAGTCTTTCTAAACAAAATAAAAGTGTGTGCTAAGACATGGGAGACTCCAACATCAGCCACATGGCAGTAGCTTATACAGAGATGCAGGAGAGTTTCCCAACGGGAAAGCTGAATCATTACATGGACAACTATGATATGGACTATGGCATCCCCCCCGATGAGATCCCAGACACCACGCAGGGCCAGGCCTTCTTTGTGGCCACCATTGTTATTGGTGTGGTGCTTGCCTGCATCATGCTTGTCTGCGGGTTGGGAAACTTCATCTTCATCGCCACACTGACACGCTACAAAAAACTCCGCAACCTCACCAACCTCCTCATTGCCAACCTGGCCATCTCAGACTTCATTGTGGCAGTGGTGTGTTGCCCGTTCCTGGTGGACTACTATGTGGTGAAACAACTTTCCTGGGACCATGGACTGGTGCTGTGTGCCTCTGTCAACTATCTGCGGACTGTGTCACTCTACGTGTCCACAAACGCATTGCTTGCCATTGCAATTGACAGGTGAGTCTGTTATTTTTTTTTATAAATCTGTGGGTCTGTGAGTGTGTGGTATATGTTCAATTCAGTAAGCCACTGCTTCTTGGACGGATCCTCCAGCATTGTCTGCACAGATTAGAATCAGTAAGGCTTCCATGTCTTTATCTGTCAGTATTTTCTCCTTGATTGATCTTTATCTAGACATTAGACTTTGTTGACGTAAGATTCTGCTCATTCACATTTCAAGAGATTTTGAGAGCTATTGAAATACTGATGCCTTTTTCATGATTTTTATTGGAAGATACATTAAACAGAGTTTTAGATTAAAGCAGGCAACAGATGTAACCATTCCTGCTCTTTTGAATGAAAATGGCTGTATTGTAAATATTGTAAACATGTCTTTATTAGTTTCAATCAAGCTTCTGAACCATATACCACATAAATATATATTATGCTAGTACTAATACACAGTGGTTCTACTCCCTGCTGGTCCATAGCTACTTGTTTACACTCATCAATGAAGCAATCCTTTTCATGGCATAAACTGGCACCATATTGCAATTGAGATTTAGGAGCTCAGATTTGTCCAGATGTGTGTGTTTGTGCACACTATCAGTCTTACTTCAAACGCCATGTAAAAACATGCATTAATCCATTTTTGATCGTCAATTAGCTTCAAAAGCTCAACAGAAAAAAGTTCCCTTCTTAGTTCGTTTAGCATACAACAGTTGGATATCCTCTCATAATATCCTCTGTTTATCCTCATCCATCTGCGCCATCAACATTATCTATTTAGTCCATCTGTGGCACAGGTTGAAACATACTTCAAACATGCGTCAAACACAGATGTTTTGAGCTGAAAATGATGTCCTTTGCATACAAAACAACGTAGTATTTAGCAGTATTCAACAAGACTGGAGTTGAGTTCTCAACATTGAAGTCCTCATGAACAAAGGACAAATAGGTTATTTGTCAGTGGTTTCCAAACAACCCATATGAGCCCATATTTCTGGCATGTACCTCCATTGGAAGGACAAACAAATCACCAGCGGTACCTAAATTAAAAAATAATAATAAATGTTAGTAAGAGAAGGGAACAATGCATTACAGAGCAAATGTCAATACTGAATGTATCATGCTTCACTTTATGGAGATGGGATACTGTAGGGAAAACAAGCAGATGTAGTGGAGAGAAATGTTTTGCAGCTATTTATTTTGTAATCACTGAGATTGTTCAGTTAATTACAGGGTGAAGCAACAGTACATACACATGTCCAATTGGCCTTTTTCACAAAGGACATTTTGAAAAATCACAAATATAATGAAATTACTGATGGCTGGACTGCCTCTGTTTCTGGGTTTTGATATTCTGCATGCTGGCTGTCACACTGCCATGACTTACTTGAATCCAACAGAGCCATTGTTAATGTTATTAGTAACACCTGTGATATTCCTACTGTAAAAATGTCTGTTGTGAAACATGGCTTATATTCACACAGACTCAAGTAACAAAATTTGATAAAGCATGCTAAAGACCAAGATTGCTTTGGCAATAGACTATAGTAGCACTCTCTCACCCTGATTAGCCAAAGGTGAAAGGTTGACCCCATGACACTTTTAATGACAGAGGGGGCTGTGCATGGCAACAGAAATAAGTACATAAATAAATGTAAAAATGAATATAATATATCAATTTATGTCACATTTTATAAATTGATTAATACCATGTATTTTAATTAATTATTTTTGTTGCATTTAATGGCATATTCATTTATTTAGTGTGATTTCTTTTTTTCTTTCTTTTTCTTTGATTTTGGCAGTTTCGGTCCCCCATAGTTTAGTGTGCCAAAGTAATTATTAAACATTATTGTTCAATCAATAATCAACCTGACATTGTGTGAGCTCACTAGTGTTAGCAACAAGTAAGAGCTTGAGTGCCGCTTGTAATGGATAATCCACAGGCCTGCTGCCAAGCTAATGGGGGATCATTTGCTTCTTTGTGGGTGGTTTTCTGTATTTGAATGTGGCACACAGGCTGCATTTATATCTGAGGTGTATTCTAAGTGTAAATGGTGATGCTGCAGCAGAACAAATGAATTGTGAAATGGAATTTAATTGGACAACAGTGTTAGAAAATAAATATAAAATATGTTTTTCAAAAAATATATCATTTGATTGAGTTGGTAATCAAGACGGAATCAAGAATTGAACTATTAAGTTATGCATTTAAAGAGCGTTTATTGCCTTGTTAACAAATTAGCCACTGAACTATCTACTAATTGTTACTTGACCTCAGCTCAACATCATCTGCTATCACATCAGTATATAACAGTGGGAATCAAATAAGAGGTTATGTAATGATGTTTGTGATTCAAATTTAGAACACTTTGTAGTTTTCAACTTAAGTGGACATGTGGTACAGGTTAAACAAGCCAGATATATCATGTATATAAGACAGCTATCTTTGAACATCAAACTCAATAAGTGAATGTGCATGTTTCCTGAAATTAATCAATTCTTTAAGCTGCTTTAACGTCAGAGAAAAATCCATACAGCATAACAGTATCAAATGTTATTTTAATGGCTACGTGGAAATATTATGTCTTATTATGTCCTGCACATAATTTTACAGCGAAAGATATAGACACAACCAAATTTTTACTATTCTAAAACATGAATTACTTTTTCATATGATTAGAGATTGTGCCTTAAGTGGCCAAAAGCCTGTATGCTTTTTGAATCCATAAAAATGACCTTCCGCCAATATGAAAAACTCACTGAATAATGGAACACTGTGTATTGAACTTTAATCTTCCATGAGTGACTGAGAGCTATTTGCCAAATCTATTGAGTTCACACAGCACTCTTCATTGTATTACTGATTCATTCCCTGCCTCCTCTGTGTAACAGTTATTCTGTGTTTTTCCAGGTACATGGCTATCGTCCATCCTCTGAGGCCCCGTATGAAGTACCAAACGGCCTACTGCCTGATAACAGGAGTCTGGATTGTTCCCATTCTGATATCAATTCCCTCTGCCTACTTTGCCTCTGAGACCATGTACCCTCACAGTGGCACCACCCCAACCACGCACAAAGTCTTCTGTGCCCAGATCTGGCCAGTTGACCAGCAGGCCTACTATCGGTCCTACTTCTTGCTTGTTTTTGCCTTGGAGTTTGTTGCACCTGTGATCGTCATGGCAATATGTTACACCCGAATTTCCCGCGAGCTCTGGTTCAAGAATGTCCCAGGTTTCCAGACGGAGCAGATTAGGAAGAGGTTGCGTTGTCGCCGTAAGACAGTAATGGTCCTGATAGGGATCTTGACGGCGTACATCCTGTGCTGGGCTCCGTACTATAGCTTCACCATCCTACGAGATTTCCATCCAACCCTCATCTCCCGCCAGAAAAATTCATTGGTGGCCTTCTACATCATTGAATGCATTGCCATGAGCAACAGCATGATCAATACCTTCTGTTTTGTCAGTGTCAAGAACAACACAGTTAAGTACCTGAAGAAGATTGTGCTGCTGCGCTGGAGGTCAACCTATGCCGCCAGTAAGACTGTGGATGAGATGGATATGAGGACCTCCTCCGTGCCTGTAACAGAGGTGATTGAATGCATTCATCTGAGGTGAAGAGAAGAAAATCTGTGATATAACAGTCATTTAGATTTGGACTTTTGATATACAGAAACTACATAGTTGACAGTGATGATGGAACATTTCTCTCATTTTAAAACACATTTAAGAATAAGTTAAAGCATCATTAACACTCATGGAAAGGTCAAACCCTAACAGTAAATTGATTAATTGGGGAACATAGCTCAAACTTTGTTAGGCATCAGTACATAAAGTACTTCTGTTTGAGGTATTATGAGAATGTAATTGTTGTGCATACTGTGCACTGTGCTATTGTGAAATGTTGTAGCATGTGTATGAGATATATTACATGGAAGACTTGTAAATAACAGCTACTACTGGCCTTACTGATCCATGATGTTGACTACTTACAGTACATAAGGTCATCTCTGTATTGCCTGTATCTGTTGGCCTATATTTATTTTCACTAAGGTCAAAAAACTCTTGATATCAAGGAAATAATTTCATTGACCATTGCTTTTTGTATTGCTTGTGTTTTCTATTTTCCTTGTTTGCTTCTAATAACTTGTTCAGGATGTTTCAGTAGAGATGTAATTTTGTGGAATGTATTGAGTATTGAGAAGGTCTTCTGAATGTCTTAAAAAGAAAATGTTTTTCTTGATCATTTGTCCCTGAAAAGAGTCATTGCATTGCATGCTTTATTTGTAGATGAATGTATTGTATGTGTGTTTATGGTAATAAATAATAAGAATAACACTGGAAAGAAAATGTTTGTTTATTTGCTTTTTCCCTGTATGTAAGTATCCTACTGTAAATCTTCAAATGTGTGTACTTCACAGCGTACAGCATTGTGACCATCATTGTAAATCTTACTATGTATACCATGCAAACAGAAATAGTGAGGGGATAAATATCAGCCTCTTAATTGACTTTTTTCAAACAGGTTACTTCCAATTTTGTTTGTACCCTCCATTTATTCTCAATAATTAAGAGAATCAGGAGTGGTAGGATTTATCTTTTGTCATGTTCGCTATTACTGGAACAAGTGCCACAATGAACACTCAGCAAGATTCTGCTGTTCCTGCAGCATTGAGTGGTAGAATAAGATCAACAAAAATGATATACCCTTATAAATATTGTAGATGAGTGTTGATGTAGATGAGTATATTTCATATGGATAAATTGGAAATGCACAGTGGGGGATAAGGACTGTTGAAAATGTTTCAGTATAACCACAGAATATAAGAAAAAGTTTCACCTTTTTAAACATTAACAAAAAGCCTTGGGTTTTGGTGAGTCATTCAAAATCTACATGCAAGGCTTTCTTTCTATATTTACTTTAAGCAATAATGATAAACTATTTTTTTATTTTAAATCCTGAAGCGCATTGTTGAACATGTGTTAACATCCTGGCCAGCTCATGAATTGTACATATCCGTGTGCTGCTGAATTAAAGTAGCAAATTCATGCCCGCTTCTTTTCTGTTATAAGGTACTTCAGGAATATCTTATGAGTCATTACCAAAATGCACTGAACCTCCCAAACAGTTGATATTTAAATGTGTTAGAGTGTTGAAATGAACTCCTGAGAGTAAATTCTCTGTAAAGAGCCTGAGTCATCCAAGTGTACGATATTCAGCACTGTCATGGTACTATTTGTCCAGATTGGCTGTCAGGTTGGTGGAGAGAAAGGGCCTCTCTGGCATTCACAAAGAGATAAAGTCAAGTCGACGGAGTTGATGATCCATGTGGCATGTGGAAGAAATCGTATCACCAGACAAAAACATTGTTAGAAAACGCTCATTGTCAAATGATTTTATGTCTAGTTGTAATATATATTTTTAAAAAAGCTTTCTGCAATATCTGTACATGGCAACTACTGATAGCATAACCACCTCATAAACCTGACCTATAATGTGTTAATGTGCAGCTGCACCTTGGAAGCCCTGAAGAATTCCTACAGGAGCTAGTAGTTTGTAGTAGTTTTAGTGACAGTTTGTTTTAATGTGTAGAAAAATATTGAATGTGTAGTTGTAGCAGGAAACAAGTAATGTTTTAACTAAAAGTATGTGAATGTTTGTAACACTAGCTTCTTGTCATATTATAAAGTTTATAAAGTTTTTTTTAAAAATACAGTAAAAGGCATCCATGACATAATGGTGTAAGAAAATGGTAATAAAAGGTTTTTTAAAAAATAGAAGTACGACAAGTTAGATTGTAATGGTGTAATCTCGGGGAGAGAGAAGAAAAAGAAGATGTCATGGCCTACTGTTGTGAGCCATGAAGCCTGCAGGGTTTTGTGATAAGAGCACAGGCTCAACAGGTGCAGGGTGGCTAAGTTGGAAACAGATAAGACACCATTAGACTGGAGAGACCACAGGACTGGTAAGGGTGCCCGGGCATTTCCAGGGCATCTCCAAGGTGGACTATACACCATTATGTTATGGGTCAGCAGAAGTTGAGAAGAGGGCAGGACCTATGACAATGTTGTATAACCCTGAAGAGTATAAAAGGAGATGTGCTGAGATGAAAAATTCAGTCTTTCCATGGATGACTCGGGCTTTGTTTTTTCTGCAAATGGAATAAAGCTCTACTTCTACTGCTAACCTGGATGAATCCTGGCTGTTATTTTTTTTTCCATCTAAAGTATAATATTATTGGACCTAATTTGAACTTAAAATTTGAGATGTTGGATATAATCTTCTGATCAAACAAAAACTTGTTTTTACTGTGACCCAACATATGATCTAAGTAGGAAAAAACCCGGCAAAAAACAAAATCAGATGTTAATATTTGTTGTGGCACCTCATTAAATTAACTCTTCATAATCATTGCTGGGTTATATAATGCACTACAGTAATATAACGCGTGTGTGCTTAAGCTGCCCCTCTTGCCAACAACCAAAGAGCCAGCCCGAGACTTGCATTTGTCCAGTAGCCTTTTGCTGAGCCACTCTCTCTTAGTTTTTTCTATCAATGTCCTCTCCGGTCTCTTCGCCTCTGCCATGTCTGTAGAGGCTGCTGAGCCCGGAGCTCCAGTACTTCTCACAACCTGGCAACCAAAGGTATATAGTGCAAGAACAGGTGAAACAGGCATAGAATGGGAATGAAAGAGACTCCATTCATTCTATTTCAAGTCAATGTAGCATCAAAATGATTTTGAAGTTCTTGTTATGACATAGAAAAATGACATAATGTTGTTTTAACCTTTGCAGTGTTCAATGAATTATTAGCCCCAAATGGGGTAAACATCTGGTGAAAATTTATACCACAGTCTGACACAGAAGAGTTTATTGGACCTAAGTCTGGCTTTATACTGTTTGATAGTCTAAAAGCTAGGTCTGGTTATAGTCTATATTTTATAAATTAAAACAAATTCCACGAAAACACTAAAAACAATAATTAATTAATCCTATCCGTATTGATTTCGGAGGACGTGATTTTTATATAAGCATGCATTTTTAACCTGTTTTGTTATATCTCAATGACTTGTGTTTTGTTTTATAATACAAACAGTTAAACATATATCACAAAGGGTTGCCCTGCTGGCTCATGTTGTTGCATCCCGTGTAGAAAGGTTGAGTCATTACCGCAGGGGCCCTGGTTCGATTACACGATTACAACCTGCATTTCATTTCCCCTTTCTCTCTCCACTTTCTTGTCACTCCTCAGCTTGATTAAAGGTAATAAAAAAAAATAATAATAATCTCAATCTCACAAAAATACCCAAACTTTATTATTGTTTCTGAAGTTTTCCTTTTTGAATGTAGTTACTGTAGCCTTCAATGCCATTACAAACATAGTGGAGACTGTAAAAGTACAATATTTCCCTCTGAAGTTAAAGTAACAAAATTTAGCCAAGCAGCACCACCAGAGGACATCTCACCTCTGCCAGCTAGATTTCCATTATGGAAGGCATGTTGACCAGTTGACAGCGTTTAACAGCTTTAGATTATCCCACAAGAGGGGGTTGAAAAGGCCATTCACATTACGATTCACATGCACAGTTTAACAAGCTCCAAACCAAGTTAAAGTAGGAACAGTAGTAATGAGATATTGTCTCTAGAACACATTTACTTTAAATTACATGAGCTAACCTTTATTCTCATCAGCGTCATTCCTCAGTGTGCATCATCTGTATTGTTTGACTATGCACTTAGTCATGCTGATTTTGCCATTAGGTTCTTGTTTAGAATGCCGACAGCTGGTGAAGATTATCGCCTCTTATGCAAATTTTCTTACAGCCTTTTGTTTGATGCTAGGAAATGTTTATTTTGCCATTATCAGGGCCCTTGCTTATTGTCCCCATTAGTCTCTGTGCCTAGGCCCCTGTGGGTGAAGTGTCAGAGCAGGGATGTTTTTTTCCCTGTACCTTACTTTCCTGGAGAACCTGCCATTAGGTCGTACAAATAAACACTATTTTCAAACACATATATTTTCCTTCCAACAAGTCGCTCAGCTTCACACATCACCTCAAGATTGTATTTCCCACTCGTTCAGAAACCACATAATTTCCTGATACTCCACACACATTTGCAATAACATTTTCACATGCACTATTATTATTTTTTGTGGAGTGTAAAAAGTGGTCACTTCCACATTTGCAAAGAGACTCCTATTGACATATAAAAATATGTACAGAGTAGAGAATATTGGAACATTTGAATTTAAAAACCACCGAAAACCCCCAATTTTGTACAGAATAGAGAATATGGAAACATTTGGATTCAAAAACCACTGAAACCCCCAACTTTGCACAATCTCTTCAAATAAAACACAATTTATGTCAAAGCTCAATGCAAGCACAAATAGGTGTCCTGGTGAGGTTTGACCAGGGACTTAAATTAGATGAAATCCTTTCTAAATGTGTCTTTCTGTTGTGCGTTTTCCCTGTCCTCCCAGAGATCTGCCGCTGTCAACAATTTACCTCCATTTGGCAGGTGGTGGGGGGTTATTTGCAACTCCCTTATCTTCTACTGCAACTCCCTTCTCTTCAGCCTACCTCACAAATACCTCCATAAACTTCAACTGGTTCAGAACTCTGCAGCTCGAATCATCACCAGAACCCCCTCCATCCACCACATCAGCCCTGTTCTGCAGCAACTCCACTGGCTCCCGGTCAAACTCCGCATAAACTTCAAAATCCTCCTGTTTACGTTCAAGGCCATCCACAACCTTTCCCCTCCTTATCTGTCCGAACTACTCCACATTGCCACCCCTTCCCTGCCCCCCAACTCTGGAACTCACTCCCACCGGACCTCAGGAACCTAGACTCTCTCACACTCTTCAAATCAAGACTAAAAACTCACCTATTCAGAACTGCATACCCCACTTAACTATCCACATTGTCTTTTCTTATCTGTTTCTTATTTCTTACTGTTTTTATTTTTTATGTGTTGTACGGTGTCCTCGAGTACCCAGAGAGGTGCCTTTAAATAAAATGTATTATTATTATTATTATTATTATTATTATTATTATTATTATTATTATTATTTCAGACCCTGGGTTCAACCATTATTTTTTTAAAGACCATGACCTATAAAGATTTTTTTTTTATTGAACTTACATGTGTAATCATTTATTTGTTGAGCAATGGTCACAATAAAAGACTTGGGACTGGTAATGGAAGGTGTTACTTCAAGTTATGCATTCGTATCTTCTTTGGAGGGAAAATAGAATATCCTTACTCGCAGCACCTAAGGCAGGGTTTGAGTTATGTAGGAGCCAGTGGGAGCTGACCTCCGATAAG